GATGAGCGTAGCTTAGACCAGGGAAACAACAGTGGCAAGAGACAAAGTGAGACACGGTCAGATTGGAGGTACCCTGGACATGAAGAGAACACCATTTCCTGGTTGGTTAGTTGCAGGGTGTGAGAAAAAGGAGATGGGGTGCTTCCAGCTTTTTATCTTAGCCTGAATGATTGGAAGGATCGGTTGCCATTACATGGGATTGAGAAGAACATGATACAGGGAGGAGAATCGTGAGTTCAGTGTTGTATGTTGATATGCCTTTTAAAACTTCAGGTAGAGATGCTCCATAGGCAGCTGAATGTGTGAATATGGACCTCAGAAGATGGGTTTCATCTCCAGCTCTGCTGCCCTATAGGGCAACCACTATCCACACATGGTTATTTAAGTTTAGATTTAAATTAAATGTAAAGGCTTATGTAGTCACAGTAATATGCTGTACTCAGTAGCCGCATGTGGCTTGTGGTTACTGCATGGAGCACCATGGGATTAGAGTACACGATCATCATTGTAGAATGTTCTCTTGGAAAATATGGTGTGGAGTGATGAATTTGGGAGTGGTCAGCATGTGGATTGTACTTAAAATCAGCACTGGATGAAGTCACGTGAAGGAGTGTGTATAAATAAACGAGAGGTCAAGGTGTTGGAGGTCCCTTTGATAATGAATAGTTAGGAGATGAGGAGGATTCAGCCAAAGAAATTAGGAATGAAGTTTTGTGGGGCAGGAAAAGAACTGAGAGAATCCGCTTCGGGTGGCAAAGCAAGGAGGAAGGGATCGATTGTATCCAGTAAGACGAGGCCCATCAACTCTTGGATATGGCAGGGTGCCCTTGAAAGAGCGGTTTCGGTGATGTGTTGGGGAGGGACGCCTGATCCAGAAGGATCATGGGTGAATGAGAAAATATATGGAGACAGAGAGTAAAGACAACTCTTTGAGGGATTTTTGCTCTAAAGGGAATCAGTGAATTGGGATATGAGCTGGAGGGATATGTGGAGATATATCCCACATGTGTGGAGATTTTTTTCAGAGGAGATAGATAATAGCGTGCTTGGATGCTGATGGGAAAGATCTAATAGGGACATTTCAGTAAAGCTCAAGATAAAGGGGCAGTTCTGGTAGTGGTGTCCTTAGGTGGATGAGGGCAGATGGAATCTGGGGCGTAGTGGAGAACCTGGACCGAAGAGGAGCTAGGGTCAGGCGTTGTGGGGAAGAGTAGGAGAGCTGGAGCATGTGAGTACAGATGCAGAAAGAGGTTTCACGGGGGAGATTGTGTAAATTCTCTTCTTATTGGTAGCATTGTTAATTCTCTATGGCTAGCTTTACTGGAGCCTGAGGGACACTTGACATCTTGATTGGTTTTGTTCAATAGTAATGACACTTTGATTTGCTTAATTTTTTTTTCCTAAACACCTCCTGCTGTTCACAGCAACATTTTAAAATGTTTTACAGAGAAACCACAGGCCACATACGGCTTAGGTTCTAGAGTCTCTCTAAAAGGTGAAAGAACATATTTTCAATGCCCATTGAAAGTGTGTTAAGTCCCTCTCAAATCACCAGAATGGAAGTCTTCCAAACTCAAAAGGCAAGAAGTAGTATTTTTAATATTTTATGCATTTCCACTGGGGACCCATTTGCCCTGTGGTAGTCAACATCAGGATCTAGTTTGAATGGGAGAGAATGGAGTGGTCTTAGGAAGTGGAGATAAGTGAGTGGATTTCTTTCTCTATCATGCTTAACACTTGAACTTGTGTCCCTTACACGCGTGTGTGATACATCATGTGTTATAAAATCATCCTGCCTCCTGAGCGTTATTGCTTACTACAATGTCATGTGCTTCACCTACGTTTTACTGCACACGTGGGCAGGTGCACTGCATTACTCTCTCCCTGTGAGGTCTCTGTACAAAGAGATCCCGCTAAAAGGGATATGGCACAAAGAAAACAGAAACCCAAAGTGTTACATACAAGATACTACTTTTATTGAAGGGGAAATTGAGTTGAAATAGCAATGAGCATCAAGATTCTTTTCAGAACGTAAAACCTCTCTCAAAATTCTGGTGTGATTGTGAATAAAACTCTCAATTGTGTACTTAATATCAAGAACAGTTGTATGACGTAGCTGTAAAAAGAAGAAAAAGACTAGAAAGGTCTTCAAAAGTAAGACCTCTAGGACCTTGATTTTGAGGTTTTCGTTGGTAACTAAGGAAAATTTGGCATGTGTCCATTTTAATGGTACTATTACCTATTGTGTTTTGTTTTGGATGGGGGTGAAGGGAACAAAGACCCATCTGACAGGATGTTGGTTGTTTCTGGGAGGCACCAAGTATTCGTTTTGTTGTACAACAAACGATGTTCACACCATGGAATCTTCGGAGTAAGCCATAATATTCCTGGAGACGCTGAAACTAACAGCAAGTGGAAACCATTTTGTAGTATCCCGAGCAGTGGTTGGTGTAATGAAGGTCCCTGAATAGCTACCACCCACGCAGCCCTAATTGAAGTGGGTCCCACCAGACAGAGAAAGAGCCAGGGCTTCCTATTTTTAACTGGAAATCTGCTTTGCTTTGGGGGCATGAATGCCCAGTCCTAGTGGTAAAGAATTTTCCACAAGACTCATGGGGCGGGAGCTATTTATACTCATGTTTGAGATTAAAAGAAGAGGAAAAAAGGAAAAGCAATACTTAAGGAAAGAGAGCATCAGGAAGGGAGGCAAATAATGTTTGCCCCAAAGACAAGGTGATAGATTGCAATATTTAGGCACATTTGGCTGGCGGTCCTACGTTCTATTTTAAGCTTATTCAAGAGTCACCTGTGTGATCCTGTACAAGTTCGTTCTTGTCAGTTTTTTCCCAATGAAAAAATGAGCAGCTACGTTGAAGAGTTGTTATAGGAATGTTTTGAGATAATGCCTAGAAAATACCCAGCAGAGGGCCTGACATGTGGGACGTGCCAGTACATGATTGGTCTTATGTTAGTGGCCAGACCTTATAGGGTCAGATTTATCCTGAGTCCTTGTCCTCTTTTTTTTTTTTTAATTTTTATTCAAATTCCAGTTCACATACAGTGTAATAATTAGTTTCAGGTATACAATATAGGGATTCAGTGCTTCCATACGTCACCCCTTGCTCATCAGGACAAGTACACCCCTTAATCCCTATCACCTGTTTGACCCACCCCCACCACCTCCCCTCTGGTAACCCTCAGTTTGTTCTTTAGAGTTAAGACTCTGTTTCTTGGCTTGCCCCTCTCTCTCACTTTCCCCCCTATGCTCATTTTTTCTTAAATTCCACATAAGAGTGAGATCGTATGGTATTTGTCTTTCTCTGACTGACTCATTTCACTTAGCATAAGGTTTTCTAGCTCCATCCATGTCATTGCATGGCAAGATTTCATTTTTTTTTTTTTATGGCTGAGTAATACTCCATTGTATATACATACCACATCTTCTTTATCCATTCATCTATTGATGGACACTTGGGCTGTTTCCATAATTTGGCTCTTGTAGATAATGCTGCTATAAACATCAGGGTGCATGTATCCCTTTGAATTAATATTTTTGCATTCGTGGGGTAAATAATAGTACAACTGTTGGATCATAGGGTAGCTCTATTTTTAACTTTTGGAGGAACCTCCATACTGTTTTCCACAGTGGCTACACCAGTTTGCATTCCCACCAACAGTGCAAAAGTGTTCCTTCCCCTTTCTCCCCATCCTCGCCAACACCTGTTGTTTCTTGTGTTGTTGATTTTAGCCATTCTGACTGGCGTGAGGTGGTATCTTACTGTAATTTGATTTGTATTTCCTTGATGATCAGTGATGTTGAGCATCTTTTCATGTATCCTAAGTCCTTTGGAGATTAAATCCATTCCAGTATATACATTAGCAACCCCTACTTCTGGTCCTATTTCATTTTGTCATATCTGTTCATCCTGGTACAAAATTGACAGATACATTCTCTTTGGAAATCCTACTGGAATTCCTTGGATTCTAAAATTGATGATAGGTAACTCTGAGCGGGGTATTCTATGGTTTTTGGAGTTCCTCCCTCGTGCCCAGCTTCTACTGGCACCCAGGAGAAGGACTGTAAATTGTGGCCCAGGATAAATCTTAAAAATATATATTCTTAACCTCAGAAAACAAACTGAGGGTTGCTGGAGTGGTGGGGGGTGGGAGGGTTCGGGTGGCTGGGTGATAGACATTGGGGAGGGCATGTGCTATGGTGAGCGCTGTGAATTGGGTAAGACTGTTGAATCAAAGACCTGTACCTCTGAAATAAATAATATATGTTAGAAAAAGAAGATAGTAGGAAGGGAAAAATGAAGCGGGGGAAATTGGAGGGGGAGATGAACCATGAGAGACTATGGACTCTGAGAAACAAACTGAGGGTTTTAGGGGAGGGGGGGATGGGTTAGCCTGGTGGTGGGTATTAGGGAGGACGCGTACTGCATGGAGCACTGGGTGTTATACACAAACAATGAATCATGGAACACTTCATCAAAAACTGATGTATGGTGACTAACATAAAATAAATTTAAAAAATTAAAAATGAAGAAAAAAATATATATGTAGATTCAGTTTCAACCATTATCTGTGAGACACCACTCTGTTAGGCCCATGCTAGGCTTTCAAGTGTAATGGGAAGGTCGAGACCTCATAATATAACCTTACTGCCTTCAATATATTGTAAAAAAAAAAAAAAATTTTTTTTTTTTTGCTTTATTAATGGATATACATAGAGTTGAGGGTAGTGGGCTTATAGCAAAAGTCGTCATGTTTCCCTATTTAGCATCCATCTAAATCACAGCTTTGATGATATGGAAATACACATTTTAAAGTATCAAGGGAAAACTTGAAATCAACATAAAACACACTTGCGAACAACGGCGTGAGCCAAGTTTAAGGTCAAAATGTCATACAAATATCTTTAAAATGTTCGGTGAGATTTCTGGAATTCCAGGGTCTGACCTGTCTCTTCATTTCTGGTTTCTATCTGTGCTGTCCAGGTCCTGATGCAAGGCAAAAATCCGGGGATAGCTTGGAAGTATGCACTTCCCAAGGTCACGAATGGAACTCAGCCAGCCTCAAAAAGGCACAGCCATGCCTGGACCACAGTGCAGTCTCCGTGCTCTCTCTCTTGTGGTGCAGGTAGTTGATTTTCCAATTCTACCTTACAAGTCTTTTCTCAAAACAGGTTCTTCAATCTCAGACCTCTTTACATTGTATGATTTAAATAAGCAACAAAAGAACTGTCTTTTATGGGAACCATCCCTGTAAAAAGCAAATATTATTGTCCTCTTTAAGGATTTTCCTATGTGGAAAGGAACCAAGTCTCAGAAAATTCAAGTCATTCATAACCAGGACTTAAAGTTTACCTATCTGAATTTATGGGGCAAAATAGTCAAATACCTGTGTTTTTTTTTTTAAGATTTTTATTTATTTATTGAGAGAGATAATAATAGCATGAGAGGGGGGAGAGTCAGAGGGAGAAGCAGACTCCCTGCCAAGCAGGGAGCCCGATGTGGGATTCGATCCCAGGACTCCTGGATCATGACCCGAGCTGAAGGCAGATGCTTAAACAACTGAGCCACCCAGGCGTCCCAACAAAATACCTGTTTGTTTATATTTTTCTTTTCACCTTACAGTTTAGTTTCTCCCTATCCTGACTTTTCTGTTGGTAAGAACCTCCCACTGAGGCTTGTGGGAGGGAGGGTCTAACCCAGAGAGAACACGCGCAAGGCAAACGTAAGACGTCTGTCTGAAACGCAGGTATTATGTCATCCCATCCCCCAGGGGTGAGGCCAGCAAAGTCTCAGGAGGGAAGTGTGGTGAATCTGGGAATTCACCCTCCTAAGGGAGGGAAAACAATAGCTGTCCTCTCAGTGAGTAGAAGGCAAGCATTTTATTTAGATCCAAAAATATCATATATTTGTGTGTAAGTCAGTCTTTGTTACCCTTGCCCCTGTGAGAAGAAGAATGAAAATCTATAAATGGATCCATAAAACTGAAGCATGGAGGTTAGCCACACATTTTCTCATTATCAGAGCATGTGGTGACAGTGGGTTTCCCAAATGTGTCCATCCCCCTAAGCACAGTGGGGCATCTTGAACCAGACACAGAGAGCAGAAATATAGAAAACGAAGAAATTCTTCAGTCTATAAGACTTCTTCAGGTGTTCATGCTAATTAACAAAACACAAGGAAATACTTCTTTGTTAAATATATTAAATACTTGAAAAAAATATTAAATACTTGAAAAGTAATACATTTTTATAGAAACAAATAAAGGGGATTCAGAGCACATGGATCATGCTGAGCCCTTAGGAACGCATAGCATTGTTGAGTTATTATGTTGTACAACCGAAACTAATACAACACTGTTAATTATACTTAAAACGTAAAATTACCAAAAAAGTAATACATTTTTCGTAATACACATTTTAAAAGCAATAGACTATGCAGAAGAAAAATAATTTTCCCTAATCCTTTAATCAGCGCATGCCAATGTTAATACTTTTGTCTGTGTCATTCTATCACTTTCTTATGCAAATATAAAGACACGTGTGTTACATGTTCTCAGACACACCCACACAGATCATTTTATATTATTTTTTTACGGCACAGAAACCATGCTATTGATACATGTTTACAATATGCTCCTTTTCACTTAAATTACAAGCAGTTTTTCATGTATCAAATGCTTTTTGAGATCATTTGCAATAACTTCCTGGTATTCCAGGGAGAGCACTGTTCTTTGGGAAGGGAAGAGATTCAATCCATTTTCCATTTATGGCGAATGAGTCCAACCAAAGGGAGGAGGCTGGAGAAGTGCATGGTGGGATCCTCCCCTTGCCTTGATTTAGCGATCCCTTCATGTGACTTCCAGACCATAGTGTGTCCAAGGCATATGAGAAGGAGAGTCTAAATGAATAAATGGAAGTAAACAATTAACTCTAGGGAATCCCAGTGTTTGGTAAGTGCCTCCTCCAGGCACACCTCCTTCACCTAATCATTATCACAGGAGTAACTTTTCATTGTTTCTCAGATTCCATTTTAAGGAAAAGTACCATGTAAATATAAACAAGCAGAATTCAAAGAGGCGGCAGCATTTCTATTTGGAGAGCTGACAAAATTATTCACACACATAAAAAATATGTGCTTCTGGTGAGAAGTCCGGAGACGAACATTGCAAGCCAGGCATTAAGTGTCACTCAAGCAAAAAACCAAAAGCCCCGAGTCCTAGCTGACAGATATGAACCCCTATTCAGAGAATTCAGCTTTTTGTTTATATCTATTTCTTATGGAAGTAGAAGATGCTTCATGGAAAAGTAGGATATTAGAGTTTCCACACATAATTTACCAAAGGTTTTTCTTTGAAGAACATTTTCCAATAGATGGATGCAATGTGAGTTCAAGTTTGTGGGATGTTCCCCTGTAAAGCCACCCTGTTTTCAAAAGGTTGCGTTTATCACTTCATGGTTCAAGAATCCATAGTGGTCTTGAAAACTAAGAAGCTACACATTCAAATTACTAAAATATGAAAACTATTATCTCGGGGGGAAATGGGATTCAAATTAGTTGCAGATGGGAGGTGTTCTCAACACCGTATTTAGATTCTGTATCTTAAGTAAAACATCAGAACCCTGGTAAGTCAGGCTGCACTTGGAACTGAAATTGAATTGGTTATCTGTAATTTTCACTTTGTAACTTTTGATGTCTTATTAGGTTACATAAGTGTAAAGGCCATTTGCTTACGAGATCAAAACACTCAAGTCAGCTCTTCGTTCTGCAATGCAAGAACCAAGCCAGCAACTGCACCCAAAATATGCAATGCTTTCCCCTGCCCTGCTTAGTAAGTCATCTGGAAATGTCTTTCTGGTAACATGTGTACTTGCATGCTCTTCTTGTTGATATGAGAAAACTAAAACCCACTGTTGGTGCTTCTGCTCACAAGTGACCCAGAGAGAGAGAGAATGCCCAAAAAAAGTAACAGAGAAAAGAAGACAATTGAGGTTAAAATATATAACTGGAAAAACACAGATTGCTTTAGACAGTCATTTGACTCCAGCATTGCAAACCTAACCTTGGGGTTTTAAGGTATCTTTTTTTTTTTTTTTTTTTTAAATCTTTACATAGAGCCTCCTCTGAACTAAATCAAACAGATATTTAAATAATACAAAATCCCATATTAGTTAGATTTACATGTAGTTGTGTGCTTAACTTTCATATAGTCATCCAAGAATTTAAAAATCATAATACTAGGCAGACCATGAAACCCCCAATGCAAATTACACAGTAGCAAGACACGAAAAGAAAGAGGTAGAGGCCAAGTGGTAATCCGCTTCTGATGATGGCACTCTATGGGGAGCTCGGTGGGTGTGTTTTGGGGATGGATTTTAGCCACACTATTGTTTGAATGCTTATTTTAAATAATCTTCCCAGCCGAATGGAGTCCTTTGTGTGATTTATCTTCTGCCAGATGTATTTATAGAGAATCGGCAGAGTTCCTTCTAAAGCAGTGTTGTGTTCCCTAATGATTCAGATCATCTTAATAAGTAGTGTTTGCTTTGTGGTGATGCAATTATATTGCACAATCTTTTTAGACACATACATGCATTTTTTCCTTGTAATAGTGCAGTTGTTCTCATTGTCTGGGCCTTCAGCTGTTCACCAATCCCATATGCCCTGTTGTCCACCTCGTTTTTCTCCAAGAATCTGGAAGCAGCTGTGTCCTGAACACAAAGAGTAAAAAGAAATTTGGTGGGCTTCCATGGATTTTCCCATTTTGCTAAGAAATATCTGATTCTAAAAGATATCCGGTGGCTCTAACATATGATTACCAGACAGTGTTATTGACGCTTGTGGAGTAATGTCTTCTTTAGATGGGGGGTGTGTGTGTGTGTGTGTGTGTGTAATTGTGAGTCTGCTTGAATGGCAAGCTGATGTTTTGTGATTTTAAGCCTCCTTCCCATTGTTGGCTGTTTCTGCCAAGCAAAGACACAGACCCCCTTCATATGTCCATCCAAGGAAAGGGAGAGAGCCCAGCTTGTGCCTGACTGCTAGAACTTCTGTGATGACCCTGTGTGGAAATAATACTGTGCAGTAACCAATTACTGGCTATTTAAAAACAGAACAGCCCTCACAGTGACTGCAGGGTTGGAGTGGTAGAACAGGCAGGATCCGTTGCTCCCTTCCTTTCTTCTCCACCTTATCAGTTATATCTTTGTATTTTCCTGTTGGAATAATGGGACCTTCAGGGACATATACTGGAAATAAGGTCTTAGGTTATTTGAGTTAGAAGGACAAAGGAATCCATCCCATCTAACTCCGTTATCTTCCCATGCAACAAGCATGTCATATGCACCTACTGGATGCCAGCCTTGGGCTGACAGTGTGGATCCAGAGAACTTGTACTTCGTGCCACCAGTGAACTCACAATCAAGGGGAAAAGAGGGGTGTGTAAGGAAGTAATTGAGAGGCAGTGAGATATGTGCTATAAAGAGGGCATGTACAAAAAAGCAGGGGGGTGGAAATGGACAGTGTAGGAGCTGGGCTCTGAGGTGGGGTTGCTAGGGACTGAGGATAGATGGGGAGTGAGCCTGCGGCCCAAGGATGCAGAACCATGCCTGGCATGCAAAAGGTCTACCTGGTGTGCTCTTTCTGTACTTTAACAGATTCATCATATTTGTCGAATGAAGGAAAAAGTTGAATTGGTTAGACAAAAATGCCATCTTTATAGGAAAATGGTGAAATTAATAATCTCATAAATATGTTTCCTTGACATCTTACAAGACACAAATAATTACACAAATAAGGAATTATTCTATTTTGTATTCTCTTTCTTTAAAAGAATATGAATTATGCAGTGTTTTAGAACAACATCATCTAGAACTCATGTGCCATACTCTCTGCATGAAAGGAAAGGTTTTTAACTTCACACGTCGGGCTGGAGGGGTAAACCAGGGGAAAAAATTACAGGACTGGTAAAGGTGGCAGAAATGCAAATGTAAACCAAAAAATGTATTTGGTCTCAGGTTTTATTTCTTGAAATGAGATTTAGACTACTGGTAAACTAGTCTTAGACATCACTCCTATGACTGAAATGTGTAAGGTCATCTCTGGGGGATCTTTATGCCAGGCCTTCCAATCCTAGATTATCAATTGGTCAAATGCAGTCATTGGAAAGGATTAGTAGGTTCATTCACATGCACACCAAGTCTCAGAACACCGTGAAAAATGTGGTGTGGCAATCTCTCCATAAAGAACGCAAGGTTGTGTCTCTTAACTCATCCATGAAGTTGAAGAATAACCGAATAGTTGGGGGAACTGCCTCCTTATAAATAGTTTCTGTAAGACCACTGCTGAAGGGGCCCTGCCCTCCTGCAGGCATGTATGATGCATGTGCACCCCCCTCCCCTCCCATTGATCATTCTCCCCTCAGTCTCATTACCGTACTTTGTATTAACATCTATTATAGCCATCATCCCATAGTATTGTCCTTATTTGTTCACATATCCACCTCATCACTGTGTTGTAGGCTCCATAATGGAAAGAACATTGCCTCGTCCATTTTTCAACCCCGATGCCTGGGAGAGTCCATGGCACAAAGTGAAGATCCCAGTAGATTTGGCCGAATGAATGAATCGCTCAGGTTTCCAAATGGCACATGTTTCTTCCCTTGCAGAGAGCAAGAATGTGTTTTTGCCCAGAACTGTGTGATGATTAAATGTGACTTCCTCTCACTGGACCCCATTTGCATAGGCTTTGAAACCCAAAGAAAAATAGTTGCTAGGAGTCGCCCTTATTGGTTCTAAAATCAACCCAAGGCTTTCATCAGGTGGTTAAAGCTTATACAATAACTGCTTTGGAAGGGATGATGCAAAGCCTCAGCCTCATTGGAAGTAATTCTGGTTTTTCACTGCAAGCTGGAAGCCAGGCGAATGGAGTGTGTGCAGCCGGTCGTGTGCGGGGGGCCAGCAGAGCAGGAAGATCCAGTGTGTCCAGAAGAAGCCCTTCCAGAAGGAGGAAGCCGTGTTGCATTCTCTCTGCCCAGTGAGCACGCCCACACAGGTGCAAGCCTGCAACAGCCATGCCTGCCCACCGGAATGGAGCCTTGGACCCTGGTCTCAGGTAACTGGGCAAGACTTGGAGTCGTGAGCCTTGTTCCTTCTGGACAAAGATGGTGGCAAAAACAGGGGTGGTATCCTTGCTCCCATGAGGCACTCAGCTATTTATGCTTTCCCGGGAATCACACTGAGTTAATGTGACGAGGCATTTCAATTTGTATTTTTTTGTGATTTTTATGCAACCTGCAGATTGGAAGCCCCTGCATCACAGCTCAGAGTCTTCCTTTGAAGTCTAGAAAGTAGAGCATGGGGGCCATTGAGGCTAGATTCATGAGCACAGCTAGGAAGGATTTGCGTGTCAGTGGATTGGCAGACGAAAGGGCTACTGAATTCTCTAAAGCAAATAGAAAACACAAATATAAAAATGGCATAGGAAGGATATTCAACTCTTGGCTTCAGGGGAAAGAGCCATGGTGTTGGAGGGATCCAGAGGGGAGTCGGGTATAAAGTTTCCTATCATCACAAACTCCCAGTGAAAGGTAGAAAGTTATAAAGTCAGAAGAGGCACAGACCTACCCACCATTCACAGCCCTGAGGTGCTCAGTGGGGGCTGGGTTTGTCAGAGGTCCTCTCAGGTGGTGTCTGGAAGCATTTTTCACTGTCCCAGCATGGAGGAATGATGCTGTGGGCATCTATTTGGTAGAGATAAACATCCTACAGTGTCAGGGACAGCTCCCTGAAAGATTTATCTGGTCCAAGACATGCTGACGGTGAGAATTCTGCTCCGTGGTAACCCAGCCTCTGCTAAACCATGGAGGTCAAGCCAGCTTTATGGAATCATCAAAAAGAGGCAGGGGTTCTAACTGTGAAGCCAGGGAGAAGTCCGCGATCACATTTCCGCCATGCTTTCCTTTAGGGAACATTATCCTAGAGCACTGATTTCTGATTAAGGATCACAGTGTACTGCCCCATCCCCAATAGAGTTCAGATCAAAGCTGCTTTTTTTTAAATTATAGGACATGAGATTTTTTTTTTTTTTTTAAGATTTTATTTATTTGCGAGAGAGAGAATGAGACAGAGAGCATGAGAGGGAGGAGGGTCAGAGGGAGAAGCAGACTCCCTGCCGAGCAGGGAGCCCAATGCGGGACTCGATCCCGGGACTCCAGGATCATGACCTGAGCCGAAGGCAGTCACTTCACCAACTGAGCCACCCAGGCGCCCGGACATGAGATTTTTTAATGTTACAACTCTGGTAGGGGAATAAGGAGCTCCAATGGGAAAGAGTATCTTTGACATGCATTGGTATGCTTTAAAATGAAGGAACATAATTATGTATAGCAGAAGGTCAGTCGAAATAGGCTATGGTGTTATGTCCGGTCTCTTTTTCTGCAAGTAAGGAGGTACACTTTACAAGAGGAAAATTCAAAGGGCTGTTTTAGCCAAATGTGTGTGGTAGGCATGGGGGAAAGATTTGGGGGGCCGAGCAGTTCCAAATGTGACCTCATGAAGAGGAGCTTTGGTTCAGAGTTTGCCCTAAATTTGACATGGAAATATTTTAAGAGAGTATTTTAGGTCCTTGGTTTTTTGTTTCGTTGTTGTTTACTAAGACCAAATGTGTCCTTTTGGGAACATCTTCCTGACAAATTTGAAAGGAGTCCCTCAAACTTTGTTACCTCAACCTGTTCTTCCCTTAGAGACCATGTCTCTGAAACCTTCTGGGAAGCAATTTTAAAATGTCTCATCGTTCTTAAAATAATTTAAAAAAACAGGAACACATAAAATAAGAATTCTATTGAAGAAGGGTCACCCTTGATATGCGTTAGTGGGACATCTCCCCGCCTGATGCCAGACAAACTTGTCTGCCCGTCTTCACTATGTAACAGCTGTTTGTTTGATCTTGGTCAAGTTCTCTAAGCTCCGAGTCTCAGCTGGCCCTTCTGGAGAACTGGACAATAGCAGTGATCTCAGAGGGTTGGTAGAAGGTTGTGGATACAAGTCAGTATGCCTGCCTCATCACATGGAAGGCATTACATTATTGTTCTCTGCTGCTGTGGTTTGCAGATTATAATATCGTCCCCATCATCCCTCTCGCTTAAGGATGTGAAGAGCTAGAAGTCATGTTGATCCTTGGGGGAGGCTTGGACTTGTGCCTAGATGTTTGCATGTTGACAAAGAGCCGAGGCAAGAGGGGCACCTCTCATATGGCTCTTCTCAGAAACTGAGGCCGGGGAGGGGACGTGTCCCTTGAGGGCAGATCCAGACCTGGAGCCTACAGCTTCCAAGCGACGCTGACAAGTTTTTAACTACTCATCTGGAAGCGAGGAGATTCTCCTCTCTCCCCGCCCCCCATATGTTTCACAGAGTTCTTGGGAAGGGCAAGAAAGTAAGACTGCAGGAGTGGCCCATCAAGCAGGTTCATTCACAGACATTCACCCAGTGCTTCTTTCTTTATTCCCCTCTAGTTAGCATGGAGCCCACCTCCCAGGCAGCAGGTGGGTAAGAACAAGGATTGCACACCCTGCACCCATTTTTATCAATGTCACAGTCTCTTGCTATTTTATGCGTGCATCTTTTTCACTTCCTGTCAGATGCACAATAATCCTCCTTAGCCGAGTGCCCAGACCGAGCCACCGTTACCCCAAAGAGCAGGCCCTGTACCATTCTCCCAGTAATCATGGATGCTGTGGAGAGGGAACCTCGTCTTCGGGCCTGGGCAACCAGCAGCCCCTGGGCATTCAGATGGTGAAGGTGAATGCTAACCTGCATTTACGGCCTCTAGAGAGAGGAAAGATTTCTCCTACGGAGTATAAGGCATTTGGTTTTAAAGCCTAAATATAGTTTGTTGACTCAGTTTTCAGCGTTCACCTGAAGAAAATCATGTGAAACGAGCATGCACATGACTTTTTTTCCCCCTCCATCTCCAGTGTTCCAAGAGCTGCGGGCGAGGGGTGAGGAAGCGTGAAGTCCTGTGCCAAAGCTCCCCCACGGCAGAGAATGTCCCGGAGACCCTGTGCTCCAGCAGCCCGAGGCCCGAGTCCCAGGAGGGCTGTGTGCTAGGACGATGCCCCAGGAACACCCGGCTGCAGTGGGTTGTGTCTTCCTGGAGTGAGGTAGGAGTTGCAAGTTCCTACTGCTGGCTTGTGTGTTTGACTGCTCAGTTCACCCACCAGCGCCCAGAGGCTCACCCCTCCTCGTTCCACACACACAGCAGGTGCCTACTAATGATCTGTTTTTCCCTCCGGACTCTTCATCAAACCCTGACGAAGCACCCGTCGCGCTGAGCGGGCTCGTGCCTGGGTGTGAAAACAGCTCCACCCCGTGCGTGTGCATAGCAGCTCGGGTAGGGGGTGCCGAGTGCTGCAGTGGGGGTCTGTGATGCCACGGGTAGAGCTCAGGGTCCCCGAGCCCTGCCACCAGGGGGAGTCTTTGTCAGGAGAGACTTTCCGGGGAGTGTGAGGCTGAAGGATGGGCAAGAACTGGGCAAGGGTGGGGTTGAGGGAAGGTTGTTTCAGACGGAAGGTGTGCCCCATACGACGGCGAGGGGAAAGAAGGTGACACAACCCATACAGTGGGGTGAGGGGGTGGTAGAAACCGAAAACTTGACCAGGGCCCCTGGGTTGGGACCACTTAGCACCTAGAACAATCCAACGTAAAGCAGGCAGCCCCCCAGACAGGCAAGGCGCCCACCGGCAGATGCTGTGATTGGGACTCAAGAGGAGTGTTCCAGGAGTGGAGAGAAGCAGCATCTTCTTGAGTTCCTAAGGAGGCCATTGTCACCTTCGGGCATATGTGGGTGGAGGGGAGAGGGAGCCGTGAAGATGTCTCCTGGATTTCTGGCTTGCGAAACTCGGGTGCATGCACAGCCAGAGGAAATGTGAGAAAAGGAGCCCAGCCTGAAGCCTGCCCCAGTAACTGATGGGACGGGGGTCTCTGCTCTGGAGGAGATCGCAGTACCAGGAGGAAGACAGAGGCCGGGATGCAGAACAGGTCAATAGTGGGGATGGTGCGGTGGAGGTGGGGCTTCTACTCCAGCAGCCCCTGGGTCTGGCCATCGGTGTCCTTTTATTCCGTCTAAATGATAAGTAACCCACATAGCAATGCATCCACCTCTCTTCCCACCCATTTTCTTTGAGATGTTACAGCCTAATGGCTAAATGCACAGGTGAATCAGATTTACCTCCACTATTTACTTGGGCTGTGACCTTGAGCTAGCCGCTTACCCTGGCAGAGCCTCGCTGCTGGACAGTACCTCATTTTGCCTCATTTCATGGTGCTGACAAGCTCTGAGACGTTGGGACAGTTAATCGAATTCTCTACCCTCTGGTTTCTTCACAGTAGCATGAGGGACATGGTTGCCTTGTCTTTAGGATCTTTGAGTACCTGTGGTTCACCTGCAATGATCCCATTCCTAGAATTTCACGTGGATGGGCCATCTGTTCAGCAGACTTGACCGTGGAGCTCTGCACACCTAACGCCCCCCTTCTTGGCTCCTAGTGTTCGATGACCTGCGGTTTGGGTGTGAGGAAGAGGGAGATGAAATGCAGCGAGAAGCCCTTCCAGGGAAAGCTCATCACTTTCCCGGAGCGAAGGTGCCGCAATATTAAGAAACCAAACCTGGAGTTGGAAGAAACCTGCCAGCAAGGGGCTTGTCCCGCCCGAACGGGCTTGGGCGTAGCAGCGGGATGGTATCCATCACCATGGCAACAGGTGAGCACCCGCAGATTTCCGTGAGATTCTCAGAACGGGGGCAGCCCCCCAGTGGCTGCTGTGGGGGACTCGTCCAAATGGAAAGACCAGAAGCTCAGGTCCCAGAGGCTCAACGACTTGTGATCTTTGGCCAGCCTCATCACCGGTGTGGCCCTGGGCCGCTCCCGTCATCTGGGAGCTTCGGCTTTCACAGCTAGAAAATCAAGATGATAATGTCTTGAAGAGCTGATTTTTTTCATGAGCACCTAAGATAATATAAAGCACTTAGTCCAGGCTGGTCACATGGTACCAAATATTCACTATTGCTCTGCTCTCAAAATCCCCACGAGTCTTCTGTATTCTAGCAACATTGCTCATAGCCTTGACTCCTTCGGTTTTTATGTCATGTTGCTGAATGATGTAATAATTCATTTGTTGAAATTTTGTCCCTATTTTGTAGAGGAAGCAGGGAAAGCTCCAAGTTGGTCAATTCAGGCAAGGACCCCCCCCCCCCAGCTCTTAAACCCATTAGATGTTCGAGGCACCCTTTTTCTCAGAAGACTTGGTTCTGATTGGCTGGGTTGGTGTGTGAAGCAAAGTCTGAGAGAGAAGCTGTGTTGTGGTCCTTGTCCTTTCCAACCAACAGATGTCAGAACTCGCTGGCTTGAGAAGTGCTGCCCACCCCATCATTAAACACGGGCTGGGTGGGGGCACGTGCAAGCACAAATGCAGGCCTATAGATTTGTGTCCGTCAGTACACAGAAATACACACAACGTAGAATGTGTGTATTTATGTGGGTCTGTATACACCAATGTGTGCCTATGTATTTGTAAGTAAACATACATACACATGTGTATATAATGCGCGTGTGTGTATTGGGGAGGATCTGAGAACTAAACCATGAAGAAAAGCAAAGGAAACTAGTGTGATTGTGTATCTCTTAATCGGTTACATGCTATTTACATCACTCTGGACTTCTTTTTCAAATTTTATCACTGTCTTTTTTAAGAGATTTGGAAATTGCTTCATTTTAAGATTATTTAGATCAGGTATCAGCAAACAATTTCCAGCAGGCCAAATCTGCGCCCCCTCCAAGCCCCGCCTATTTTTTTGTAAATAAAGTTTTATTAGGACACAGCCATGCTCTTTTGTCTACATATCGCCCATGGCCCACAAACCTGAAAATATTTACTATCTTGCCCTTTACAGAAAAAGTTTGCCAATTCCTGGTTTAGATGATAACAGTCCTACAGCTGTATACCTTTAGCTCTTGGCGTTAAATCCAAAACTCGTATGTTTTCCATCCCTGCATATTTTTTCTTCCCAAAAGCAGTCCATATAAAGATGCTTGTCCAAAATGAACACTTCGCCTATCTGTAATAAAATAAGAAAAATAAGAATAATGTAGTGAATTTTTAAAAGCAAAAAAAATTTTCCTGATATTTCATTTGTTATAAAAGTTGATAGTGATTGAACAGTGAAATCACTGACTTCTAGAAAGCACCACACCCACTGTGCCAACTCAGAATTTGGCCAGGCACCGAGGGCAGGATTCCAAAGCTGTCTCGGAAGTAGTATTTCTTCGCTGTCCTAATGCTGAAGCATCCCCTGCCCCCCACTATTGCATCTGCAGAGATTATCTGGAATTCTTTAAATACTGTGATGATTTGTTCGGCGTCCTTATGGCAGCTTCTGTATTTCTGGAAGCTCTCTTCTTTATGAGTCACTGAACTGGAGACACTCTCTCTGGGGCGAGATAGATAGCATTTGCCTAAGACCCCCTTCTAATCAGATCACATGGCTGTTGTGTATTAGACTGTGGACGTGAGCACACGTGCTGGGCTCTGGCCAATCCCCCCTTCATCAACAGGGCACCCGGGTCATGGCATGAAGCCTGGAGATCCCTTCTGTTTGACATCACTGACCTCCAAAAGGACAACCTCCAGCTGAGCGTTGCTGACTCCTAGCTCTTTCCCTCTTCTGCAGTGCACGGTGACCTGCGGAGGGGGTGTCCAGACCCGCTCAGTCCACTGTGTTCAGCAGGGCCGGCCTTCCTCAAGCTGTCTGCTCCATCAGAAACCTCCAGTGCTGCGAGCCTGTAATACAAACTTCTGTCCAGCTCCTGAAAAGAGAGGTAAAGGCCCCCCCCACACACACCAGGCAGTTTTACTAGTGTTCAGAGAATTTTTCAAAAACCTGTTTTTGAATTTTTCAAAATCCTGTTTGGTTGTACAGTTTATTCCTTGCAACAACTCCAGCGGGTGCCATTCACACCACTGCGTGTGAACAGTGCTCCGCACAGGTGTACAATCTGCTCAAAATGACCTTGTTTGCACACCTATGCAGGGAACATTTTATTCTATGATAAGGCTTGTTAGCCATTAATTCTTACTTTTGAAAGGGGGAAATAGTCATTTTGCAAGTCCATTTTTTAACACTATTTTAGTTAAATAAGAAAATGAAAAAGTATCCACCCTGTGCCAGAGATTACACTCATCAGGGGCAATGTAGGCATGAAGGGGAATTGTCCTGGAACTCACACTTTAATTAGGGAGGCAGGTAAGTTGCAGTCAGTCAGTGAATGTGCATCGTCCCAGGACCACACCTTATGTGTTTCCTTAGTTACAGGCCATTCTAACAAAGTGTAACATGTGCTGATGGGAAAATGGGAAATTGAATTATCTGAGTGAACTACACTGTTTCACTAGCCCAGCTTACTTCAAAGTAATCTGACAAACACACCAGGAAGAGTCTCCTCTCCCCCCCCAATCAGATTTCCTTGTGCTAAAGAATTATGTTCCACCATGTACCTACTGCGTTTTCTTTTCATCCAATCACGGCTTTTCCAAGACTGTTTCGTTTCTTACCCTGTGCTTTCCAATCTGTGGTGAATCAGATTCAGGACTTTCACTCACTGGCTCTCCCTTGTCCCTACCACTTCGCGTGTCTTGTTTATCTGCGTGCTAGAGCCGTAGCTCCAGGCCCTGGGCATCGGTTTTCCCTCCTCTTCCCTCTCTCCTTCCTTATCTGAGGCTTGCAGGAGATAAGAGAACTAGTAATACAACTGCTGCTCAGAACCACATCACTTCCAAGGCAATGCTGGAATTCTCCAAACCGGCAGCCTTTTTTGGCAGAAAGCTTTTGGGGGAAGAAATACACCTTTTGAGCAAGTGGTCATGTACTTGCGAACTGTCCCCTCCTTTCTTCCCCCTTGGTGACTTCTCCTCCCCGCCCCCCTTCAGTCAGATGTCCCCAGACAAACCCACACATGCCAAGAATCAGAAGTACAGGCCCCCTAGGTACTTTGAGACAGGCTTAAGGACAAGGGCCGACCATGAAAATTGCTCAGCGGTATCTCCTGGGTACGAGTGCTAGGTGGGGAGAGCCAAGACATATGTTAGATCCAAGATCGGGGGGAGGCCTTTGGTGTTACTATTTTGTTCATCCAGCACCCCGCCTGGCACACCATAGATGCTCAATGCGTGTTAAGTGGAAGATTGTGAAGTACCGTGAGGTTCTCTCCTTCCTTCAAAGCCAGGTCACTAAGCACCTGCTGTATATCCCTAGCATTCTTCTAGAGATAAAAGAACAAGGCAATATCCTGTTCCTAAGCTACAAGGAGTCAGTGTCTCAAAGGAGAAGGAAGATACAACAACAGATACGAGTGGTGGAGTGTTACCAGTGTTATAATGGAGGTCAGGTCTCCGTGGGTTGCAGGGAGGGGGCCAGTGAAAGATGGTGGTATGAGAAAGGGTTATTAGAAGAAGGATGTCTTTCCATGCCTCTTGACTAAGGCCTCTTTTGTGAAGAGGAGTAAAGTAAGAAGGCAGATATGAAAGACACAAGCCTGGGTATTTCTTCTTGGCCAAAATGGGGCCTGTGGTTTTTGCAAGTTGGAGGCCTCCTCCCATTTCCATCCCAAATGCAGGGAGAGTGGCATGCCCAAATTACTGCTGGGTTAGTCTTCCTTCTTAGATCATTGGCAGGGTGACCACAGGTGGAATTGGAGTGTGTTTTCTAACACTGGGGTTTCTACAAGCATTAGTGGGCAATAAGCCAACCCCTGGTGCATTAGGGAAGAGCTCTTGGAATGTTCTGAGCCTTCCATGATGGGCCAGGTTTTTGAGGCACCGTCTTCCCCTCCAAGAGTTGAGAGAAGACGGTTCTGCCCAGATTGGCATCGTCCTGTCCTGGAGGACAGCCATGTGGGTGTGCCATCTCTCAGCCCCCCACCCATGCTGGAAACCAGTCTAGGGCCCTCACTTCATGCCATCATCACTATGGGATGCTTTACCTGGGTCTTCATTGGATCTAAACCAGTCTAGGGCCCTCACTTCATGCCATCATCACTATGGGATGCTTTACCTGGGTCTTCATTGGATCTCCACTTTGGGAGAACATCCTATGAGCTGGCCTTGTGCGCATTTTATGTGTAAACCTTCTTCAGAATAGAGGGAGGCCTCGGGCAGTGACATCACTCATCACTGTGTCGTGACTGGTTGTTGACATAGTCGGGAAGAGGCCTGGGTTGCAGCCTAGGGGGATTCAGTGGGGGATGAGCAGCACCCAATATGAGTAAGTTTACTCCTCATGGAATCTCACATCCTCACATGGAGAGGGGGCGGGATGGGCGTATTGAACAGCGGCAGAAGCAAGGACTCTGACGTCACCAAAAGGATTTGAGTCCACACGCTGCCATATACTGGTTTGTGGCCATGGGCAAGCTTTTGAACTCTTTATAAAATGGAGAAATGCTTACCTGAAAAGATCATTGAGAGTTAAGTAAGATGCTTCAATTTTTCCGCATTTATTTAGTACTTACCGTGAACCAGGATCTGTTCTGGTGCCTGATTGTAGATAGAAGAGTGAACAAAATGTGCAAAGTTTCCACTTTATATCTGGAAACAAACAAAGAAGCCAATCAATAAATATACAATCTCAGATAATAAAGTAGAAAATAAAACCGAAGCAGGGTATAGAGAATGAGAATGGGGGGTGAAGACGGGGGTGGGAAAACTGGTTTAGGTAGACTAGTCAGGCAAGGATGATGTGGATGATGTGATATTTAAACAGGGACCTAAAGATGACCTAAAGGAAGGTGAGCTATGTGTATGTATCTAGAAGGAGAGTGTTCCTGGCAGGGGCAACAGCACATGCAAAGGCCCTGAGGTGGGAATGTGTGAATCTGATCAAGGAACAGCAAGACACCTGGAGTCAGATGTCTAAAGTGGACAGGGGTTAGGTGATTAGCTGAAGCTGGTCCTGGAGGCGTTTTCAGTCTTCGTAAGGACGTAAGATTTACCTCTGAGTGAGGTGGATGCTGATGGAGAACTTGGAGCAGAGGGGCAGTGGGATTGGACTTGTGGCAAGATCCCCGGCAGTTACACAGAGAAGAGCGTAGGGGCCCAGAGCTGAAGGAGGATTTGTCCTCTCTTGGTAGGCGGGAGGTTCCCTTAGAGCAGCGGCTATAGTGGGAGAGGCTGGGTGCTGGTATATTCTGAAAATTGAGCTCATGTACGGTATTTGTCAATTGTTTGCATGCAGGATGTGAGGCAAAGAAAGAGGACACCAGGGTCATCCTCAATAGCATACATAAAATACGTGACTGACCACAGAAGCTCAAATCACCAGCTATGAGAATAACCATAATCAAAAACACAGTGCTCATCTTGATGGCGCATTGACACACCTCCCTTCTGCTTCCTGACTTAAAGTTAGCTCATAGCAGAAGCTGCAAAATCCCATTTTTTTTTAAAGATTTTATTTATTTGAGAGAGAGAATGAGATAGAGAGAGCATGAGAGGGGGGAGGATCAGAGGGAGAAGCAGACCCCCTGCCGAGCAGGGAGCCTCACGCGGGACTCGATCCCGGGACTCCAAGATCATGACCTGAGCCGAAGGCAGTCGCTTAACCAACTGAGCCACCCAGGCACCCCTGAAATCCCATTCTTAACTCAAAAGGAGTAAGAGTCGATACAGCAGTACCGTTAGGACCATGGTTTTAGTGATCGGTTTTTATCCTGATGCAGTTAATCTTTGCAATTTAAATAGAAACTGATTCAGACGTACATTCTGATTGATTAGGCTACCTGCTACTTGGCTGGGATAGAAGACACTGTACAAGTATATATTAAAAATAACTGAAGATGAAAATATAGATACATAGGCAAACAGTTTAGACGGGTGTTCATCTCACGTCTGACTTGTATCTTCTCCTGGGGCCCCACCCCTGCCCCCATGATGGTCTGCATCAGTACGCCTTCTTCTAGAAGCTCAGGGCAAAAAGCTGATCATCATTACTGATTTTTCTTTTCTCTCTCATACCTTTACCAACCTGTCAGAAAGTTCTCTAGACTCTATATCCGGGAGTTATTGAAAAGAAAAAAGAATGATCTGAGTTCACCTTTCTACCCAAGTTGAGACGTTGTAGGTTTCATATTGGTTGTTTCAGCCATGAGGGTTACAGGGAAACTATTTTTTCAACAAATATTTCCTGAGCAGCTACTTTGTGACAGGCATTAAGCATTGGGAAGAAAGTAATGAAAACAGTAGGCAAAACCTCTGCTCTCAAGGATTTTACATTCTAGAGAGGAGCAGACAGCACAGAATAGGATGAGTGCTGATAGACCCAAGGTAGAAAAATAAAGCAAGGTGGGGAGTAGGGAGGCCACAGAGCACGCTGCTTGTATGGGGGAGTCTGGGAAGGCCCTACTCTCAGTGACCTTCAAGAAGAGACTTAAAAGAAGGGGTCTGGATGTCTGGGGGAAGCCACAGTGTGCCTGGCATGTTAGGGCATCTGCCAGGTGTCCCATGTGGGGGAGAGGATGAGCAGAGGATGATGAGGTCAAAGAGAAGTGGGGGAACCAGATCCTAGGGCCTTGTCGGCCATTTTAAGGACTAAACCTTTCACTCTGGGTGGATGGAGGGGCCAGAGGGAGAGTTTGGGGCTGAGACATGACATGAACTAACTTATCTGTTCAAAGGATCAGTGGGGCTACTATGAGATGGGTTGGGGGCTGTGTTTTAGGCAGAAGAACCAAGGCAGGGGGAAGGAACTGTAGGCAGTTCTGAATCAGAAGCAGGATTCAAATCGATAGGAGAGCTGAGAGCCTGGCATGCCATGTCCAAGGGCACAAAGCAGAGCTACGTAAGGATAATTTTGGAAGGGGGTGGGCGGGGTGCCTACAGGCCGTAGGGGGCGTTGGGCAAGGTGAAGGTAAAGTGACTTTTGAGCCTTGCACAGAGGAAGGGGAAAGCACTTCCAACCATGAATGAGAAGACTTATTCATGTAGAGGGTAGACCATAAATTACTTCTGAAGTCACAATTCCTTGAGAATCCAGTAAAATGACTAAGGCCCTGACTCCTAAAATGTGCACTGAGGTTTTTATAAAGAAAATCTTACATACAATTTCACATGCCTTCTGTGTCTAGTGAGGCCCTTCTGGGTGAGAATCCCTGATGTACAACGTTCTGCTCCCAGTCCATAATCCCATCTGTCAATAGAAGAAGTCAGGACTGGAGTTGACTTAAATTCACTCAGTTGCAAATTGGCTAGGAGATTTATTTAAATCGACCTAGAGTATTGCAGCTGGGCCTCAAATGCAGGTGTGCTGACTCCCCATATCTTAGGCCTCCTGTTCCCCAAAGTAAGGTTCCGTGGACCCAGCAGCAGCAACAGCACCTTAGCTCTCACCCCAGACCCTCTGAATCAGAAGCAGTGGTTTATCAAGGTCCCCAGGGGATTCCTCACATGCTGTGCAAGGGAAGCAAGATGGTGGCTCCCAGGCTATTGGGAGGATCAGACATGAATCTCTGGCTGGATTTGACATTTTCTTTTAACATCCACTCTCCCCCCCTCCTGTTAACATTTAGCTAAGGGTCTTAATCCCTTTTGATGTCATAATCCTGCATCCCTAACCCTCCCAGCAAAGTCCTAGTGTATAAGGAGAACTCAGAGGCACAAGGCAGGTGCATCCAAGGTCTTTGACCTGTAGGCTCTCACCTTAAGAAAAAGGCTAAGCTTCCTCCTAAGGGGTGAAATATTTTTTCTCTCACTGCAGAAGATCCATCCTGTGTAGATTTCTTCAGCTGGTGTCACCTAGTTCCTCAACATGGTGTCTGCAACCACAAATTTTATGGTCAGCAGTGCTGCAAGTCATGCACGAGGAAGAGCTGATCTAGACACCCTCCCCAACACCCGAGGGCCAGGCTCTTCCCTCTCGCCTCTGGAGAGACCAGCGACGATTCACATTGAAAGCTAAACCCTGCAGACCAGCCATGCACTGCAGCAGAATCTGTGGGGCTGGCTCTCGAGGACAGACAGGCTCCCTTATCCACTTCCCCAAAGCACATGGTACTCTGAAGCACTTGAAAACGGGAAGCGAGCACAAAATGGACTTCCAAAAGACAAGACAAGATAACTTTGATTTGCACTGTTCCAATGAAAGAAGTGATGAATCACACTGACAGACGTCACGTTTTCATTTTGACAAAGTGAGAATCTGGTCAATGTTGGGAGAGACTCTCCCTTTGAACTTCAAGGGTTCCATGGCAAAGACTCTGTGTTGAAAAGGTCCTTGAAGACTTCGGGTCAAAGACGGAGCCTTGGGGCCATCAAATGTGGATGGAACCCATTGCCTGACTGTTACTTGGAGCTCCCAGTGTGCCTGACACTGTGGACAGCCCAGAGTGGCAGTTACCCAGGAAGCCAAATGGTGCTCATAACTGTGCTTGCTGCTGGACTAGCAAGCTTCATGTTATGTTTATCTAGTGTGCGTGTGTTGTTTTTATTATTTTGTTTAGAGTATATTCCGCTTCTGGAGAGTCTCCAAGACTAAAATTCACAACTTGAAAAGTATTCCGAGGAATATTCTGAAAACAGGGCAACATGGACTATTTGAGATCTGCATTTAATTGAAACTCAGACTCCAAAAAAAAGCCCACAAACTCACATAAAAGGCAAATGTTGATGTCCTACACGGTATATCAACCTCGTAACTTTTGGTGCTAGCTGAACAAGTCCACGGGAGCCTCTAGTCTGCTCTTTGGGGGTCAGAATTGGTAAGATGTTCATTTGTGGTAAAAAATCCAGGAGGAGCAAAATAGCAGTGTTTTGAAGGAGAGTAGACCATCATTTATAAGGCTCCCTACATACTGTCAGAGAGCTGCTTGGGAAATTAAAGACCACTTGTGGTTTTTTCCTACCAACTGTCATGTTTAAATTTTCCCTAAGATTTAGTTAACAAGAAAAAAAGAGTGGCAATAGAAAAACCCATCTTGTTAAGTTAATATTAATATATCATAATAAGCCAAGATCCTTCGATGAGTAAGAATATTTTATAATCTTTCAGATATTTTCAGTCATCAGAAGCCAGCTGTTGATAGGCACTAATGAGCTTAAAATTGTTCTCAATTGGAAAATACCACACTATTTTGCCAAAACCAGAGTAACTTACAAGACTGAGTCCTTCTGTAATTTTTTGAGATGTGGTTAAAAAGGGCATATTTATATAATTCTACTCTATTCCTCAATTCCTTTGATGAATGTAACCCAATTTTACTGCTTTATAAAGTCTCAATTCAAACAGGGATTTGCCAGCTCAGCACAACCAACTAGACAGTGGTTTGTTAAATTTAGAGCATCCTTTGTTCCCATTCTAATTAAAATCATGTGTTCTTGAATCTCAGAGAAATAATTAGAATAGTCTCTCAATCCACTTGGCTTGGCCTAGAGTAGTGGCCATTTTATATCAGAAACACAGCTCCACATCACCCACCCCTCTGCCCTCTGAAAAATTGCAAGTTATTTGTTTCTTTATATAATGATCATTTTATTATTTTATGGAAAAATTAATTTATTAATAGCCTATTCTTATGTGTTCTCACTTGCTTCTTTAAGTGATATTAATTCTGAGGAAAAATCTTGAATAAAACAATGGGTTATAGAGAAAAGTCAAAATATATGTGTAATATTTAATTATTTTATAAGTTTTATAATAAAGTGTTCTGTTTCTTTATCTGTGAAATTTGTTAAGTTCTTGAATAAGGTAGAGAGGTCAGTTACTTCCAAGATCATTTAACTGTATAAATGTTGAATAGGAATCTCAGTACTTTCTCAATGAAAAGTTGGAAAGATAAAATACTCATTAATTGATTTTTCTTGCTTGTGTCTGAGAAAATTAGAAACCACCAAAAGTCAGGGTGAGATGGAGGATGTATTTAGCATCTTACAGAGATACAGAGTTATTTTTTCCTGCTCTAATGCTTTGTCAACATTTATGGAAATCATCCAAGTTAGATAAACCTACCATAAGCGTAGTTGGCTTTCTCCTTTATTTTTTTCCATTTGAATGGCATTCTGGTGAAATCCTTTTGCAAAAAGAAAGAGGGGAAGGAGAAAAGGAAGAAAAAACAAATTAAAAAGCAATTGTTTCAGGTTTTCCAAATTTGGAATCATCACACCAGTAGGGAATAAAAACAATCGGGGCAAAGTCAGTCCAGTTGACCTGAATATATATTTTCCCCTCCACATGTATTTATATATATGTACATGAATATGTCCTATATATGTGTGTGTGTGTGTGTGTGTATGTATGTGTATATATGTGGATCATTTATGCATGCAGGTCTTTAAAATATATTTAAGAGGATTTTTATATGAATGGCTATTTGGCAAAAAAAAAAAAAACTGGTTAAGAATGAAAAATAGAATAGATGGTACAAAAAATAGCAGAAGAGAAGGTATCCTTGTGCCTTTTGGTGATAAAATGTTAATGACAGCCATCATATATTTAGTGTTTGGTGTTTAATGGGTGCCAGAGACGGTGCCAAGTTCTTCATGTATGTTACTTCTTCTAATCCTCTCAAGACTCTAGTTAGAAAGATACTATTTTTTTTTAAAGATTTTATTTATTTGACAGAGAGCGAGAACACAAGTAGGCAGAGCGGCAGGCCGAGGGAGAGGGAGAAGCAGGCTCTCCGCTGAGCAGGGAGCCCGATAAGGAGCTTGATCCCAGGACCCTGAGATCATGACCTGAGTCAAAGGCAGCCGCTTAACCGACTGAGCCATCCGAGCGCCCCAGAGAGATACTATTTTTTTCCCTTTGCAGATGAGGACTCTGGGATTCTGAGAGATCACATATTTTGTCCGAGGTAGCCATAAAAGTGAGCTCCATAAATAATATAAGCATTTAAATTGTTCATTTTAGTTGAAAATAGTCACTATAAGTGGTTTACACAATTCCTATCTGGAAAAAAATTCCCCAGTGAGAATAGGGGAGCTGTTCAGAGCTCCTCAGGAATAATCAGTTTTGCATCACTAAGCTTAAGACAAAGATGGAATTTTCTCATCAGTAAGATGATTTTTATCTTTAGTCCTAAGTTACATTTGTGTATAGAAAAGGAAAATTGTGTCTATTTAATTGTACTTTTCTGGATAGACATTGAGTATCCAGGTATAAGTGACTTTGGTTCAAATTGCCATGTACTGAGAAACCATCAGGAGCAATATCCAGAATGTGTTTTTCTGAATGTGTTCAGTTATTTGTTTCTGCCAAGTAATGGCTAACTGCCTTACCCCTGCACACAACCACTATCCTGTTCGAACATTATGAAGCCATACGTCCCAGGTATGGTTGTTTCCCTAAATTCTGTTTAGTGAGGGGCAGAGTTGAGTTCACAATCAGGTCATTTAGTAACAAGAAGTGATTTATATAATTGTTCGTTGTTTTAATGGATAAAGAGGTTCAAAATTGTTCCTAGCATCCTAACTGGGATGAGAAAGAGGCACTAATGTCTAGGAAAAGGAAACCCTAGAGGCCATGTCTCCCCAACCCCCCTGTTTCTTTCCACCCCTCTTCCCTTCTTCCCTGCATCGCCTTGGCCCCCTCCCCCCCTTTCAGGTTGTCTCGGCCCCGTACAAGTTAGGACATCACCTGACACATGCCCTTACCACATGTCAGAAAACACCGGTTGAATACTCGGTGCTCCTTACCCCTCCATCTTACCGCTCACGGACTTTCTAAACCAAGTGCTCAGTACAGAGTGGCACTGTATAAAGTTAACCGTCAGAGCCCTTGAGAGATGGTCTTTGAAGGTGAACCAGGGCCAGAGGCTGTTCATGCTGGAGACAAGGCCCAGACAGGTCTCTCCCGCTGACTCCCCTCCTGTCTCTCCTTTTATGTGGCTGGAGCACAGGAAGGACCGGGCAGCCCCCTCTTGTCAGAAGGCCAAGCCAGCTCTTCTGTTGCTCTGCGAGCTCCTCCTCTGTTTCTGCAGACTCATTCCACCCACCGTGGGGCTCAGTATCTCCCCTTCCTTGGAAAGAAGGTTCTCTCTACCCTGCCCCATCGCTTTTGAAAGCCAGGTTGGATCTAGAGTAAGTCTCGGGACAACAGTTTCTAAATAATTAGCTGCATGAACAATCACTTAAGGATATTTTATACATTCCTAGGCCCCACTCCAGAAATGTAATTAATTAATTCTGGGAGTAGGGCCTGGGAACTTAGAGTTTAAAAGGCATTCAAGTTTCTCAGAGGAAAAGCTAGTTTTGGAACTGCTGGTCTAGGGCAAATAAAGAAAGTACCTCGAGTCTGTCTTCCTTGTGTAGGTGAAGGAGTTCCCTTGGCACCAGGCCCTCTGGTACAGCTCTGCTGGGGTCTGAACCAATCTCAGCCAGTAATGATGAGGGGTTTGCCTGTTCTCATCCTCTGTATGGAATTCACCTGGGACACTCTTGGGGCTGTCGCAATAAGGCATCAAGAAGAGGACTCACAGGCAAGGACCAGTGCCCTGGGCCATCTTTGTCTCGGTTTCTTATTCCCAACCATGCCAGTAGCCAACAGCAGGGTTTGGTGGGCAGGCAATGGAAATGTTTGAGGGAAACTGGCCATTCCTCTCAGTCAAGCACCCACATGCAAGAATTAGTATACTGTGGGGTTTTTTTTTTTTTTTTTTTTTTTAAAAGAAAGGGCCTTCAATAGAGAAGCCAATGAAATCCCCATCGGAGAGTGTCTTTTGGCAAATTACTCCAGGGCCTTGTGTGTGCATTGAGAAACCCACAGTACATGAAAAAAAACAAAAAACAAAAAACTAAAAACTAAAAACTAAAAAACCAAACTGTTGTGTTCCTGAGATCCAGAGTCAAGGCAGAATAAAGGCTTCCATCCTATTTCCTGCCGGGACACTGGGTGCCAAGAGGTGAATTAATCACTTTTATGAATCGGGCCAACTGTCACTTGCTTACAAATGGCCAGAAATGCATTGGTTGACTCGAGAGAATGAAAATTGTAACTTCAAGCTTTTGTACAACAGAAGAAAAAGAAACAAAGGCTTTGAAAAGATAGGGAAGAGCAGCTACACTGATGCTTTGGCCACACTAAAGTATAAACAAGGTAATTTCATGTTGTGCTGTCCTGGGACTCTGATTTTTCTCATTCAGTGGCTCATTTCATTAATTTACAGGGTTTTTTTTTTTAATATATATATTGGCCCCAGATACTTAAAATGAACATGTCTGTCTATTTATGTATCTGCATGGTCCTAAACCAATGAAGGCCTGATTGTTATTGTACTCAGCAATTTTTCCCCTTTGTTAGGATGCCCACATTGTCTAGGGCTTTTATTACTTGCAGATAGGTCTGCAGAGGGGGCAAACATTTCACATTTTCTTAGAGGTTAGCATTTGCTTTCATGCTAAAAGTCTCTCTGACACACACACAGTCACAATCAGCCTTTCATGAGCTCTGCCTACACTAACGTTTTTTTTTTTCTGCATTCTTGCTATCCAAAATACATTCGTTCTTTCAACCAGCATTTATAGAACACCAACCACACTCTGAGATCCAAACACTGAAACAGATCTTATTCCTGACCCCAAGGGACTGGGATTTGAAAATTCGGGATGTGTATCCATGCAATCGGGCAATGGTCCAAGGTCATACAGTCCTGAGATTTTTTTTTTTTTTAATTCCTCACTGTTAAATTCACTCCAGTCAATATTTGATAACGTGTGTTTTTCGGCTTGTATTATTGTCACATATGATATGATAAGATCACATATGCAAGTGAGGATCATGCAGACTGCAGACTTCTTTTCCCCTTCAAAAATAGTAAAGTCACAAAATTATAGCATTAAGCAGAAAATGGCCCATTTGCAAATTATTGTATAGAAATTAAGAAATGCGGTGCCTGGGTGGCTCAGTCGGTTAAGTGTCTGCCTTCGGCTGAGGTCATGATCCCAAGGTCCTGGGATCGAGTCCCATGTCAGGCTCCCTGTTCAGTGGGGAGTCTGCTTCTCCCTCTACCCCTCCCCCCTGATCATGATCTCTCTCTCTCAAATAAACAAATAAAATCTTTAAAAAAAAAAAAAAAGAAATTAAGAAATGGAAGAGGATTTTGTTATTTCACTCTCCCCCTCACAGATACAGACAGAAATATTTGAGGGCCCTTCTTAAAATTACACAGTGAGTTAATGGTAAGTCTAGGTGTAAGGCCATTGTAATAATTTTCATGCAGGTATACTTTTCACTGGATTATAAAATATTTACTGATTTTTTTTTTTTTTTACTCGATAGGCAAACACTCTTATTGCACTTCAGGACAATTTTAATGAATAGTAAGTTTCAAATAGAAACCTAATAAGAAACATTGCTGACTTCATATGCTATCTATGGTATTAACTTAAATTCCCCTCCCCCAAAAGAAATACGTACTCTGGTACCATAAAAAGCGTAACAAATGTTGTCATATAACCTCTACATAGAGCAAAGGTGACCTCATGAAAGTACCAGTTTAAAAAAAAAATCTGACCCTTTCCCTTCCCAACAGTCTGGTCTCCCAGGGAACCGAGCTATTGCTTTGCTTTGAGCCTGGAATTAAGAACAAAGTTGAAGGCCACAAACTCTGCAAATACACTAAAAACCACTAGACACTTTAAATGGGAAGATTTTATGGCATGTAAATTACATCTCAACAAAGCTGTTTGAATAAAATATATATATATATATGCAACATGGGATCAAGATGGCGGAGTAGGAAGATCCTGAGCTCACCTCCTCTTACAGACGCACCAAAACTCTTAACTACATAGAGTATAATGGTCTCTGAGAACAAAGTGAAGACCAGTAGAACAGATGATTGATATAAAGACGGGCGGGGAGGGCAGAGACG